GTGTGTGTGTGTGTGTGTGTGTGTGTGTGTGTGTGTGTGTACCAAACAAGTAGAACTCTGAACTGTAAGAGTTTCTGAACAAGAAAAATCATTTCTGCTGTTGAATAGAAATACCATAGCAAAACCACAAGTGAGTCAGAACATTTATCATTCTGTCCGCAGGTCCTCCATCTGCTCCTGTAAACGTCATCTCCTCTGTTAATGGGACCTCAGTGGTTTTAGAGTGGGACCGCCCTCTGGACACAGGGGGGCGCAGCGACCTGCAGTATGGTGTGTTGTGTCAGAAATGTTCTGGGGAGGGGCCCTGTGAGGACTGCACATCTTCTCCTGGAGGCGGCAGTGGAGGGAAGGTGGGTGGAGGGGCGAGCATTGGCTTGGGGGGAGGAGGAATTGTGGAGCGTTCAGGCAGCGCTGTTGTGAGGTTCATCCCACACCAGACTGGTTTGATGGAGCCTCGGGTGACGGTGCTGAATCTGGTGGCCCACACTAATTACTCCTTCCGCATCCTGGCAACCAACGCAGTGACTCACCTGAGCAATGAAGCTTCACCGTACGCCATCGCCAACATCACAACAAACCAGGCAGGTAGGGTTCACGCAAACAACATCCATTGTAATAACCAGTGGCGTCCAATCCTGCTCCTCCAGGGTCACTGCTTGTTTCTCTGCTCCAACAYGCCAGATTCAGTGACTCAGTTACCTTTTTAAGTGTTTGCAGAAGCCTGTTAATGACCCATCATATCAAGTGTGTTGGAGTGGATAGACCTCTGAAACTTCCACAATGGTGGTCCTCAAGGACCAGGCTTTGACACCCCTGGTGCAGACTAATGTTTGGAAACTTGGTATATATTATAAAAATAATTATTTATATATCATAAATGCTTTGGCATAAGTCACAGTGCTGTGAAAGACCATTTTTCCCTCAAAGATTTCTTGTCATTGGCAATGGACACTATTGTTTTCCTGTTTCTCTTTATTATTCAACTTATTCCGTCTTCTTCCACGTCGCCACACTACTCCTCCTGCATACTTTCATATAATGAGAGTCAATGGGGCCTTGTAATGGTCCAATACTGCCCCATGCTGGACTCAACTTGGTACTGCTCCATACTTTAATAATATTTAATCTCAATTGTTCAGTGTTTACAATACTAATATGATTGTATTTTGTTGTTTTACTATAATCTTGTCTTAATACTGCTCTATTGTTGTAATATTATGCAGTTTAGTGTCAATAATTATATTGGCCATGTGGCCTCCTTCTGCACACATACAAACCAACCCCTGGCACCACACTYTACCACAGCTCCAACAGTGTATTGGTCTATGTCATGGTCTTTCATGTGGGAGATCAGGGTTCAAAACCCAGCTAACGCTACTTTAACAAAATTCTCTTCAAACTTCCCATTGTCACACAATTACTTTAATTACAAACACCTACTGACGTGACAGGCACAAGCTGGTATAGAAAACACGTTTGAACTTGGTCAAAGTTCATTCTGCAAGTCCAATTCTCCTGCAAACTTTGTCCTACAGCTGCCATTGTAATTTCTGTCTGCACAGGTCTTGTGCCAAATGATTGCTTTGCCTTCTGGTGCCTGTAGAACGTGTAGTTTTTGAAATATTACTGTTTAAACTTTATTCCAAATTCATATCATGGCAGTCAATGGGGCCTTGTAATGGTCCAATACTGCCCCCAGCTGTAATCAACTTGGTGCTGCACCATAGTTTTTTAATATTTAATCTGAATGGTTCAGTGTTTACAATACTAAGATGATTGTATTTGGATGTTTTACAATATCATTGTCTTAATACTGCTCTATTGTTGTAATATTATGCAGCAGCTGGTATTGTAATTTCTATCTGCAAAGGTCCTATGCCAAATGATTGCTATGCCTTTTGGTACCTGTACAACTTGTAGTTTTTGAAATATTAATGTTTAAATTTTATTCCAAATTCATATAATGGGAGTACATGGGGCCTTGTAATGGTCCAATACTGCCCCCAGCTGTACTCAACTTGGAACTGCACCATGGTTTTTTTAATATTTTACCTCAATGGTTCAGTGTTTACACTACTAATATGATTGTACTTTCATGTTTTACCATAAATTTGTCTTAATACTGCTCTATTGTTGTCATATTATGCAGTTTAGTGTCAATAATTGTATTGGCAATGTGGCCTCTTTCTGCACACATACAAACCAATCCCTGGCACCACGCTGCCAGAGCTCTAATGGTCTAATGGTCTATGCCATGGGCTTTCATGTGGGAGATCAGGGTTCAATCCCAGCTATGAATAAACACTTTCATTTAAACCACATATTTTCAGATTATATTGTCACACCATTACACTCAATGTTTCAGTGTTTACAATAATAATATGATTTTATTCTCATGCTTTACTATAAAATTGTCTTAATACTGCTCTATTGTTGTAATATTATGCAGTTTAGTGTCAATAATTGTATTGGCAATGTGGCCTCTTTCTGCACACGTACAAATTAACCCCTGCCACCACCTTTTTCCACAGCTCCACTGGTCTAATGGTCTATGTCATGGACTTTCATGTGGGAGATCAAGGTTCAAAACTCAGCTAATGCAACTTTAACAAAAAATMTCTTCCAACTTCATATTGTCACTCAATTACCTTAATTACAAACACCTGCTCACGTGAAAGGCACAAGCTGGTATAGAAAACACATTTGAACTTGGTCCCATTTCATTCTGCAAGTCCAATGCTGCAGGCAAAGCCATGGCTGCAGTGGCAATGCACACTTGTTTTTGTATCGTAAAAACCCATGTCTAGTATTTTATTTATTTCCCACACTTCCATGTTTCAGATCAAATAAATTATTTTATTTATTATAAGAAAAACTATCCAAACCAGTCAGACCCTAAGTGAAAAAGCGCTAACACTGACATCAACAACTACAACCGTGTGTTTGTGAGAACTGGCAGTAAGTTTTTAGCTCTCTGAGAAGGAATTTGCTGCTGAGCTTCAGATCTGCTGCAGAACATAAAGTCAGGAACTGATGTCAACTGATTTTCTACTTAGCAGAACTCATGGTTTCATCAATTACAACTTATAAATTTCTTACAGCAGCAAAGCAGCTCAGAACATGACACTACCACCACCATGTTTGACAGTGGATATRATGTTAGTTTATGCAGAATGTAATGAGACACCGACCTTCCAAAAAGTTCACATTTTCTTTCCTCAGTTCACTGATGAAACAAAAGTCTTAGGAATCATCACAATGTTTTTTTTGTCAAGCATGAGGCGGGCCTTTTAGTTCTTTTTGCTCAGCAGTGGAATTATCCTGTTAAAAAATAAGCAGTGTTCATTACCCTTTACCTGTTCAGATCTAATTGTTGAGAAAGAAGGATTTTTGCAAATTTTGGACAGAATTAAACATCAGATCGAACTGCAGAGACTGAACAAAGGACCAAGCTGTGCCTGGCACTAAAACCTGCTACGAACTGGAGCACTGGGTTAAAGGTCACGCAGCTGCAAATTGTCTCTCCCTGCAAGGCCTTGGAACTTACCTTTCCCCTCTTTGTGGCCAGTTCACTGATGTAATGTCTTTTTCCCGCCCTGAGACCAGGTCTGATGTAACTAGGAAACATGAGACTTTTCTCCTCAGACGACGAAGAGAGGAGGAGAATGAATGTTTGTTTAAATGAATATGCATTTTTCAGAAGTTTATAAAGATCTCTCACACACCCTATGAGCTCCAGAACTACTTGGGGCTTTTCTGAACAAATAACCCTCTGTGAGGGATCTTTGTCTGTGCTGCTAGATATTTCTTTTTCTTTTTATTATTAAAGCACAAAACCCCCACTCCACCTGGCATCTTTTTAAAAAGTCCTTGGTAAATCTGTTCTTCTGTTTACATTTGCTGGTCTTGTTGAAGATAACAGCATACAGGTTCTGAGCTCCTCGAAGGTGCAAGGTGCACCCCCTCCCCCTCTCGGCCCTTCGAAGCCCGCTATGCGGGAGACAAAGAGGCGAAAGCAGCGTGAGATGAGAGAGAGAAATATCCAGGTGGAAGGATTAATTCGATCTTTCAAGATCTTTGCAAGTCTGTGCCTCTGATGAGAGATATTACCATTTCTAAAATTTCTCTACCCACCAAGCCGTGAGTGCCTTTAAAAATCCTACAAGGTCTAATTTTATGGCTATTTAATGATCTAGAAAAGATATATGCATAAGTTAGACTAGAGTCTGTAGGTGAGTCCAGCAGATTTGATCTTCTCCAAAAGATGGTATTATTTTTAGGATTAAAAAAAGTCTAAATAAAAGCTGTATATTTCTAATAATTAATATTAGACCTACAGTATCAGAAGGACTCAGATCACAGCTGATTCAACACTAATACCAGTTAATAATGACGTGTGAATGTTTGAGTGAGCCATACAAAACCATTCGGACACAGCTGTGGACTGTCTAGCTTTTAATGTGCCTTCCAACAGGCGTCAGTTAAGCAGAGAGAAACAACCCAGGAAACACACATCAAGTAACAGCCTTCTTCACATCCTGACTCCACCTCATGACATAAAATAAAGGGGCAGGCTGTGTCTACATGGAATCAGGATGCCATACATCTCAACCTAATGGTTCATCACAGTTCTTATTTATGTGTTGTTTTTAAGTCAGACATGTATCTGGCTAAAAGCCTCCTGAGTCTGTCAGACCCTGCTCAAGAGACCCACACAACTCAGTCTGCACATAAAATCATCAAGAAAGTCAGACATAACCACATTATAGAAATATATTACTGTTCACATAATAAAAG